GACTGTAATTAGAGAGCTTGCTTTTAGAAATGTTTGATAACAGAACCATATGAAGGCCTTTAAAAGGGATACTAAAAGGTTCTTTTTTTTTTATTTTATAAAATAACAAACAAGTTATACTTACCTGCTGTGTGTAGTGGTTTTGCACAGAACAACCTGGATCTCCTCTTCTTGGGTCCCCTGCCGGCATTCCTCCTTTCTGTCTGGTGCCCCCACAGCAAGTAGTTATTGAGAAGGTGTGTTCCCAAGCCGTTGCTCTGTGCGTCCATTCACACATGGAGCTGTGGCTTGCCCCCCCCCCCCCCATTGGCTGACTTGCTATGATTGACAGCAGTGGGAGCCAATGGCTCCAGCTTGCTGTCTCAGCCAATGAGGAGGCAGACACCCAGGACAGCCAAGGCTGGATCTCAATGGGGTTCGGGTAAGTAATGAGGGCGCTGGGGGCACTGTTCCACACAGATTTTTTCCCTTCATGCATAGAATGCATGTAGGTAAAAAACCTTGAGCCTTTAGAACCACTTAAAATTTCCCTCTGTGCTGACATATCATTTTCTTTGTTGTCCATATACAAGGGCTTCCTGCTGATCAGTGTGTAGGACTCATGTCTGGTTCTCCTATATGATGAATAGAGCTCTGGTGTGTAATGTGCAGTAATCTCACCTGAAACGGAGCGTTTCCTGTATATGACGACTCCAATAACGGCCCCGATAATCAGCGCTACAGCAACAACCACAACAGCCCCGATAATTATAGGAGTATTGTCCTTAGGGGGATCTGGGGGAAACACAGAAGTAACATGATGTGAGATCTACTGACAGTCTTGTGTATTTAGTCCCAGAATCAGCTGATTGCAGGTCATAGAAGCACATTGTTCCTGCATTGTTCCATCATATCATTACAAGTGCACATTATAATTCACTAAATGAGATATAATGGTCTATAATGAAGAAAAAGACTCACACATGGATGATGTCAGTGCCAGGAGGATGGATTTGAGCTCAGCCAGGTCCACAGAGATTTGGGTTTGTGGAATGTGTAGAACAGACCTGACACTTCATAAACATGTGTGCGGTGTTGGGGGGGAACATGAAGGATAACAATCACCAGTCCACCATAAATAACACAGTGCAGTCAGCAGGCATTAGTGTGATCATCGTGGAAGGAACACCTCGGGAAGGGTGCAAATTCTTCCAAATCATTTACAAAGAGAAGGTGTGCTAAAGAGGTTCTATATACAGAATAATGTCTGTGTACAGCACAGTGCACTGGTATGGTACAGCAACTAATAGTAGAAGCAGATAACTGGGGCCCATTCTCACTGTAACAGAGCTTTCTGAATGGACCATCAATGCACCTCATTGCACAAAAAAAGTCCTTCCCCATTACTATACAGCCCAGCTACAGGAGTTAGTCAAAATCTACCCTTGTAGTGGGGGTAGGTCTAGGGGGTAGAATCAAACAATACAATTAACCCTCACCCCCAGTCCAGTGTTGTCCTCTTCTCCACCCAAAGCTCCAGCCTATGTGTGGTCCTTTCACTATTAACTGTCCATGGAGGGGGCAAGAGTGCGACCACGGCCATGAGCAGCTTAGCCACTTCTGGAGTTTTGGTGATTGTACCGGAGTGATGGCAGCAGCTGCAGGCATCCCCCCGATACAGTTTTTTTAGAGCTGGCATTCGGCTCTCTTATACAAACAATCAGAGGGGCTAACTAGCAGCTCGATTGCTTGCGCAAGCAGCTGGAGGGGAGGACCCCCCCCCCCCCCCCCCCCCCAGCTGCCTTCTACGTCTCTCTCAGGATCTCCCGTCCCACCGGGAGTCCTGAGCAACCAGCCAGTGTGTCCGACAATTACTTGGATGTCATGCTGACCCCCTGGTTTCATTATTTTCTGTTATTGACCTGGAACAAAATATGCAAATCAACTAAGTCAGAGTAAAATTTGGAATCTTTATTTGTATACCTGTTCTAGGTTTGTGAAGCCAAAAGGGTCAATGCGACAAACATGCAATTATCAACCAGTCAGCAATGGCAGCCTCTATGTCCTCCTTTAAAGTGTTACAAATCCCAGGACCCTGCTTTCACAATATCTGGTCTCCCCGGACCCTGCTTTCACAATATCTGGTCTCCCCGGACCCTGCATTCACTATATCTGGTCTCCCCGGACCCTGCATTCACTATATCTGGTCTCCCCGGACCCTGCATTCACTATATCCGGTTTCCCCGGACCCTGCATTCACTATATCCGCTCTCCCCGGACCCTGCATTCACTATATCCGGTCTCCCCGGACCCTGCATTCACTATATCCGCTCTCCCCGGACCCTGCATTCACTATATCCGGTCTCCCCGGACCCTGCATTCACTATATCCGGTCTCCCCGGACCCTGCATTCACTATATCCGGTCTCCCCGGACCCTGCATTCACTATATCCGGTCCCCCCGGACCCTGCATTCACTATATCCGCTCTCCCCGGACCCTGCATTCACTATATCCGCTCTCCCCGAACCCTGCATTCACTATATCCGCTCTCCCCCGACCCTGCATTCACTATATCCAATCTCCCCGGACCCTGCATTCACTATATCCAATCTCCCAGGACCCTGCATTCACTATATCCTGTCTCTCCAGACCCTGCATTCACTATATCCGCTCTCCCCGGACCCTGCATTCACTATATCCGGTCTCCCAGTACCCTGCATTCACTATATCTGGTCTCCCCTGAACCTGCATTTGTAGCAAACTTGCTCATCAGAGATGGACGCGGAGTTCCCATTTTTTATTAGAAGTATTCCTCAATCCTTTATTGACTACCCCCTTCCTTCCTGAGAGGCACAGGGACAGATGTGTGTGTGTTAAAAGTGGCTGGCAGGCTAGAACAGCAGGAGGCCCAGAGCTACAAAGCCCCCCCATGGAGCAGAGCCTGCTTGTCCCAAGGCCCGTGTAAACTCACACCTCCTAACCAAGATAAGGTAGTTTTCTCTGGACTTGAAAGAAGTTGGAACCTCATAAACCCTACCAGCCAGGTGACAGAAGGTAAATGAACATTCCTCAGGTCAGCTGTCACCTATGTTTCATATCATGGATTATGAAGCTGTCAGTTTTAATGCAGAGTCCATCCGACGATCCCGCCCAAAACAGGGTATTGGCCAGTTACTCAGAGCCACAACCCCTGCTGGGGGACTTTAAAAGACAGGCTGGCAAGCCTAAAGTGAGGAAGCTAAAGAGATCTCCTAACTTTAACATCGTAACAGCAGGAGATCAAAGACCCTTTCGCTCAACAACTTGGATCTGCTTACCTTAAAGCTGAACATGGCAAGTAATGTAACCTTTTAACTTCTCCCTGTTATCTCTTTGCTGTGATGTGCTGTTTTTTATGTGTATGTATATATATATATATATATATATATATATATATTAATTAGTTACATCTTTTTCATTAAATATTTTATTGCACCTGTTTGACTCTTTTAGTAATAAATCTTTCTTTCTGAAAGTGTTAAACTGTTTCTAAAGCGCTTAATTGCAATTTACGAATCCCTGCCTTCTGAAGAGACGCTACTGTGTTTGTTTAATCCTCTGCCCAATTGGCCTGCGGTGACCATATTGGACAGGCGACTTTTCAACCATTACAGTGTATATTTGATAAAGAGAGTTTCCCCTTTCTCTGTACAAAAAGGGGTGGTGGCAGTGTGAAGGGTTAGTTGCCTAATTAACCCGACCCAGTAACAAGCGCATTCAGGCTGCCGGGGCGTCGATTGCGTTCCAATAGCTGGACAGTCATTGTGCAGGGCACAGCTGAGTGTGGCATTGTTACGCACATCACATCGCGGTCTGGATGAGCTGGTCCTTCGGTCACGAGTTTGGTGAGAAGCTCTGGGGTCTGACCCCGCGGGCGTGACGTATTGTTGGTCGCGGTCGTGCGATTGTCGCATGTTGAGGGTGGCGATCGTGCGATCCGTGACAGCATTCACTATATCTGATCTCCCACAGCACACAGAGCATGGAAATGCAATTATTTTAGTAAATATAAACTGCTTAATACCTTTTCTCACCAGCAGTATGTAGCAGTCTTGTGACTTCTATCAATGTCTGGCCCAGCACTGGCTACTCTTGTAGGCGTTTTCATTCTCCTCTGACTATCCTACAAGGCTGCATAACCCCTGACCCTCTGTCTGGACAGCGCTGATTGGCCCTGTGCTGATCACATGCACCCTCCCAAAAGAAAAAACAAAAATGAAAAACACACCTATCAATACACAGTAAACAGAGCATGTGTAGACTTGCCACTGCTGCTCTATCTATGGCTGATGGACTGGGGACAACAAAAGAAGGGCAGGATTAGAGAAGTCAGGATCAAACAGCCTTTTTTACACAAGGCAGAGGATTACCCTCTTAAGTTCCACAGTGAGTATAATAAGTATGATTTACAACATATACAGACTGATTTTACTGTTGTGGGTTTAGTAACACTTTATCTGTAAATTCTCAGTTATGTATGAACTAACCCTTTAAATCCAGAGTTACCGAGGTACAAAAGAATAACAAATCCCTCCATTGGCAATGTTACAGAACAGAACATGGGAGAAATACTTTTGCTAATGATTAATATATCAAGAACAATATATCTTATATATGTGATAGTGATCATTGGTACAATATGAAATGATGACATGCCAATGACATGGAGATTCTGGAATTTTCTACAGATAACCATACAAAGGCAGATCCTTCATTGTAAATGGATTTCAAATCTCAACAAATCACCGACCAGCCACAGTGCAGGAAATACTACCCCAGATACTGCTGTGTACGGTCTGAATGCTATTTCTGTATTTCAGTACTTTGTTTTGTTCCTCGGTTGCACTCGTTCTCATTCATTTAGTGACACAAACACAGCCGGCTTATTACAAAGGATGTTTCCATTTTAGCATTACTTGTGATAAACACACAGGGGGAGATTTACTAAAACCGGAGCACTCAGAATCTGGTGCAGCTGTGCATGGGAGCCAATCAGCTTCTAACTTCAGCTTGTTCAATGAAGCTTTGACAATAAAACCTGGAAGCTGATTGGTTTCTATACAGAGCTGCGCCAGATTTTAGTAAATAACCCCGTGGTGTATGGACAGATAGCAGAAGTCCTACTTACTCACCCCATTTCACACTGAGAGTCTCATCCCCCAGGCTGCTGTGGTCCACATGACAGGAGTAAGTGTCTCCCTCCTTGGTTGGGACTTCCACACTGACTCTGATCTGATAGGTGCCATCAGGATGGGGGAGAATTGGAGTCATTTCATCTGAAGGAACATGGTGCACCCCATTCCTCATCCACTTCACATCCACAGGTCGGGGTGAAACCCGTACACCAGGCACTGAAGTCTGGTCATATCATCCGACTGACGACGGCCCCACACCTTCACCTCTGGACGCACTGAAAGACAGAAAACAAGGTATGTGATCTACTGACAAATGTAATCTATGTTCTCCTATGAGATGAATGTGGACACATACAGTATGATGATCTCCAGCATAGAACTATGAGGCCACAGTCCCCACCATTCACTCTAATAGAAGGTGAGCTGTCAGTGATGTCCAGTGGGGTGTAGATCCATCAACACAGAGCAGTCCTGAGGACATTCCTTCAGAAGACTATCCATCATGCATCTCATTGACAGGAAGCGGCCTGTCTGACTCCCAGGATGGCTCACACTGATCAGCGCTTTTGTCTTTTAACCACTTGCCCTCCAGAAGATTTTCCCCCCTTCCGGACCAGGCCATTTTTTGCGATACAGAGCTGCGTTACTTTGACAATTGCGCGGTCATGCAACGCTGCACCCAAAATGAAATGTATGTACTGTTTGAACTATAAATAAAAAAAGTGACAATTTTAAAAAAAGATTTTTTATTTTCTGCTATAAAACATATCTAATAAAAAAAATTCAAAATGAAATTTCTTCATAAAATTTAGACACAAATTCTGCTACAAAGTTTTTGTAAAAAAAAAATACCAACAAGTATATATATTGATTAGTTTGTGCAAAAGTTATAGCATCTACAAACTATGGTACATAAGGGAATTTATTTTTTCATACTGGTAATGGCGGTGATTAGCAGCTTATAGCGGGACTGCGATATTGCGGTGGACATTTTTACACTGACATTTTGTGGGAACCAGTGACACTAATACAGTGATCAGTGCTACATATATGCACCGACACTGTACTAATGACACTGGCTGGGAAGGGGTTAACATCTAGGGTGATCAAAGGGTTAAGTGTGTGTCTAGCTATGTGTTTGGTGTACACTAGGTGGTGCTTTTACTAGGGGAAGTGATGGATGGTGTTCTCAGCTCTGCAGAGAGACATGATCAGGGCCGTCTTTAACCTGTTCCTGTCCGGCCAATAACAGAATGATGGCCGAGCAGGACTCTGATCAATCCGAGTGGGCGTCATGACGTCCTTCCGGGATCGTGCTGCACTGTGGTGAGATCTGTCACTGGCTGTGTACCTTCGAACCAGCCAATGACAGATCTGTGTACCGGCCCATTGCCAGTACCATGTGACCTGCTGTGACCAATCACAGCAGGTCACATGATAATTGTAAACAATGGATGGCTTCCATTCATGCCATCCATTATACACAATTGTGTCACTAGCTGTGATTGGACACATGTACAGACTGGACCAATCACAGCCCATCTTTGTCATGTGATTAGCTGTGGCTAATCACAACAAAAAAACCTGAATGAATCGATTTAATTCAGTTAAATGCTTGTTTATAGAAAATAACTTCTTTCCTATAAGCAAATCATAATGTGTTAAAAAAAAAAAAGAATACTGATCACTTCTCCAAAGTAGTACAATGTTACTATGGTAGCATTATACTACTCTGGTGATTGTGTATTATGAGAAAAAAAATCTTAAAAAAAAAATGTAATAAAGAAAACTGAAACACAGTTATTTTTTTATTTCTTCGTACTGTCACCAGTGTCCCTGATCGCCGCCACACCAGTATATATGATGATGCTGTACTGCATTGGTGACAGTATATAAAAAAACCCCACATTTGTGAAAAAAAAGTTTGAATTTCTTTATTTTTCAAAAAATTATGACAAAACAAAATTACAACTTCAAAAAAACTCGCCATGCCTCTTACTAAAAACCTCGGACTGTCTACTTTCAAAAAAAAGGGGTCATCTGTACTGTTGACATTATTGGGCCTCAAGAAATTAGATCGGCCATCAGTACATCAGGACTGATCGATTTTAAGATATAGAACATAGTTTGTGGACTCGATAACTTTGACTTTCCTACAGACTAAATAATTGTAAAGGAAATTTGTAAATTCTGCATTTCATTTTGTGTGCTTTGCCTATGTATTGTACACGGCACTCATTGTGCACACGGCACTAATAATGTTCTCATTACATGTTTGCATTCTTCCAAGTCATGATTAGAAATCAGCCTGCCTATGTAATGCCCCTTGTTTACCATAAAGTACAACTGTAATATTAATGTGATACCTACATAAATCATGTGTATAAAATACTTCAAATACAAATAAACAGAACAGTTATTTGGAAAGATGCCGAGTGTATCGTTTTGTGTCCGTTCCCCTCTGCAGTAGTTATTAATTTGGAACCACTAATCAGTAGGAGGTTAGGAGTTCCCTATAACATTTTCAGTATTAATGTCCAGAACAATAATAAACACTGATTTGGGTTATTTTCACCAAAGAAATGTAGCAGAATACATCTTGGCCTAAATTTATGAAGAACATTTATTTATTTGCAATAATACATGTATAATACATAAGGGGGGATATGATCTCCATGTATAATACATAAGGGGGGATATGATATCCATGTATAATACATAAGGGGGGATATGATCTCCATGTATAATACATAAGGAGGGATATGAACAACATGTATAATACATAAGGGGGGATATGATCTCCATGTATAATATATAAGGGGGGATATGATCTCCATGTATAATACATAAGGGGGGGATATGATATCCATGTAATAATACATAAGGGGGATATGATCTCCATGTATAATACATAAGGGGGGATATGATCTCCATGTATAATACATAAGGGGGGGGATATGATCTCCATGTATAATACATAAGGGGGATATGATCTCCATGTATAAATACATAAGGGGGGATATGATCTCCATGTATAATACATAAGGGGGGATATGATCTCCATGTATAATGCATAAGGGGGGATATGATCTCCATGTATAATACATAAGGGGGGACATGATCTCCATGTATAATACATAAGGGGGGACATGATCTCCATGTATAATACATAAGGGGGGGATATGATCTCCATGTATAATACATAAGGGGGGGATATGATCTCCATGTATAATACATAAGGGGGATATGATCTCCATGTATAATACAATAAGGGGGGATATGATCTCCATGTATAATACATAAGGGGGGGATATGAACAACATGTATAATACATAAGGGGGGATATGATCTCCATGTATAATACATAAGGGTGGATATGATCACCATGTATAATACATAAGGGGGATATGATCTCCATGTATAAAGGTACATAAGGGGGGATATGATCTCCATGTTTTAAATACATAAGGGGGATATGATCTCCATGTATAATACATAAGTGGGGATATGATCTCCATGTATAATACATAAGGAGGGATATGATCTCCATGTAATAATACATAAGGGGGGATATGATCACCATGTATAATACATAAGGGGGGATATGATCTCCATGTATAATACATAAGGGGGATATGATCTCCATGTATAATACAATAGGGGGATATGATCACCATGTATAATAACATAAGGGGGGATTTTTATTATTATATACAGTATTTATAAGACGCCAATAGTTCGCTCAGCGCTGTACATTACAATGGGGGACAGAACATGTGACAGAACAATACCAAATACAATGCAAAACATGAGGGGATTGAGGGGCCCTGCTCTTTCAAGCTTACAATCTAGGTGGGAGGGGATGGTGGCACAGGAGGAGATAGCTGTGGGGGATGGAGTGGTAGGAAGATTGGAGGAGGTTGGCAAGTTAGCAGGGGTGTGGATTAGGCTTCCCTGAAGAGATGGGTTTTCAGGGTGCGCCTAAAGGAGAGGAGAGTAGGTGATAATCTGATGGGTTTGGGGCAGGGAGGTTTTCCAGAGGATGGGTGACACCCTGGAGAAGTCCTGGAGGCGGGCATGGGAGGAGGAGACCAGGGAACTAGAGAGAAGGAGGTCTTGTGAGGAGCGGAGTGTGCGTGCCGGGCGGGGTACTTGGATATTAGGTCAGGGATGTAGTTCGGGGGCAGTATGGTGGACGGCTTTGTACGTCAGTGTTAGGATTTTTTGAATTTGATCCGTTGCGCAATCGGAAGCCAGTGGAGGGATTGGCAGAGGGGGGGGGCGGAAACGGAGCGTTGGAAAGGTGAATGAGTCTGCCAGCCGTATTCAGGATCGACTGAAGCGGGGGGATAGCCAGCGGCGAGGCAGGCCAGTGAGGAGGGAGTTGCAGTAGTCGAGTCGTGATATGATGAGGGGAGTGGATGAGCCGTTTAGTGTTTTCTGGGGTTAGGAACGTGTGGATTTTGGCGATGTTGCGGAGGTGGAGTCTGCACAAGTTTGTTAAAGATTGGACTTGGGGCTGGAAGGATAGGCTGGAGTCCAAAATGACACCAAGTACTCTGGCCTGCGGGGCGGGTTTAGATGGTGGCGTTGTTGGATGTGATGGAGAAGTCAATGGAGGGTGGTGTCCGGGCTGGGGGGAAGACAAGAAACTCGTTTTTGGAGAGGTTCAGTTTAAGGAAGTGGAGCGACATCCAGTCTGATATGTCGCTCAGTAGGTGTGTGCTTCGGGCGGAGACCGAGGGGGTGAGGTGGGGGGAGAGATAGATTTGTGTGTCGTCGGCATAGAGGTGGTAATTGAAGCCTTGAGAGTGTATGAGTTGGCCAAGGGAGGAGGTGTAGATGGACAAGAGAAGGGGCATCCGAGGACAGAGCCCTTGAGGGATCCCAACAGAGAGGGGGAGTGAGGGGGAGGTGGTAGCATTATAGGTAACGCTGAAAGAGCGTTGTGACAGGTAGGATGAGAGCCAGGAGAGAGCAGAATCTCTGAGGCCGAGGGAGTGTAGTTTTTTGAGGAGGAGGGGGCGGTCGACTGTGTCGAAGGCCGCGGAGACGTCAAGGAGTAGGAGCACTGAATAGTGGCCATTAGTTTTGCGGTTAGCAGGTCGTTGGAGAGTTTGAGTAAGGCAGTTTCGGTGGAGTGTAGAGGGGCACGGAAGCCGGAAACTGTAGGGGATCGAGGAGGTTGTTGTCCGTTGAGGTGAGAGCATAGGCGGGTTTGTATTCTAAGCGCTCGAGGAGTTTAGATGTAAATGGGAACATCAGGGAGATGGGT